GGACATGGAATTGTGTGCGCTTTTACGCATGGGTCTGCGCGATCACGGATATTTGATGTGGGAAAGATGTAGCCAGATGTATTACTTGTTTTCAAGCACCACCGAGATACGTGGCTCGTCCGTCCGTCATGTGCGGCACTTAACTGACCCGTGCGTAAATCGCGGATGCTGTGATTTGATGGCCCGGTACTCATTGTAACCCACTGGCGAACGACCCCCTTAACGAACGCGCTGTTTTAATAGAACGGAGCACGTAGGCTACTGACCTGTTGCCAAACCCGGCCTCACACCATTTCTTGTTATATTCACAGTCTATCACAGTTAGTCAACAATTAGTATCACCCCCCTCCCCCCTAAAAAAAAAAAAAGTTTTTCGTGTACTAATTTTTCATAACCATTTATGATCTTAAACACATGTACACGTTTACATGTGTATACGGACTCACCCCTAGTCGGCACTTTGGCATCTGCGGCTTTTCAGCCGATTGAGCATGGTGAATTGGCGGCAGAGCTTGTCAGTGAGAGAGATCACTCTGATTGGCTGTTCAGGTTTTATTTCCTCGCCCCTGTAGCGAGTGAATCTGCCTGTAGTGAAACCGGGGCTAACCGGTGCTTCCTCCTCAGGCTCCACTTCACTCAGCTGCCCCACAGACCTGCTGCTTCTTCACACTTTAACCTGAATAACAAACCGGAGCTAGCTGTGAGGCTAGTGGAGCGTTAGCCGCAGCATGACGGAGGGAAGCACAGCCAATTAGCCTCCACTAGTCTCTGAGCTAGCCCCAGCTCTCCGTTTGGATCCAACCGGAGCACCGAGCCCTGGTTTGTTATTCAGGTTAAAGCGTGAAGAAGCAGCGGGTTTATCGGGCAGCTGAGTGAAGTGGAGCCTGAGGAGGAAACACCGGGACCGTCTGGATGTAATAGTCCGTGGAGGTGCTGCGGTGCTCGGCTGCACAGAAAGGAAACCCCTCGGCTGACAGGATGTACCACTCTCTCACTCCGCTCTCTCTCATGCAGGCGCAGAACGTACGTGCTACTTGGCCGTCGGATGTAGTCCGTGTAGTGTGTTCAAATGCAACTGACACAGGGCGACGTGAGGCAACGTAGACGACGCAACAGTTGGCTTTCGTCGCCGCTAGTTCTTTGATGTGGGTTTGGTGTGTCCGCACCTTAAGGGCTGACTGTTGCATCAGCCTATGTCTTGGCTAAAAAGCAGTGTTAAGGTCTTTAGACTCGGCGCAATGAACAGTTAAATTTAATTTTTACTGTTGTTCTGCTGCTCTGTCTGTGACCAAAGTACATTCTGCACTCCAACAGTTTGGTGCAGTGAATAACAGAACGTATACACATCCCAATAGTGCGCCTAAAGAGCAGTCAGGCTCCAAGAAAACAAAATCGGGCGTTAAGTCTTCAGATGAGGCAGGACGGGGAGGCAGGTACTTAGTTCAGGGAAACCTAAGTGGACGAACATGGAGGTAATTTATATTTCTACGTGTGAACATGCTGGACTAAAGGTGTAGAAGATTTGCACTCTGAGACGTAACATCAGTTTAAAGGTAGTGTTTGTGGCAGCAGTCGTCACCGTCTTGTCACAGTCATGAGGTTTCAGTCTGCACAAACGACCTTTTAATAAGTGTATTAATGAACAGGCATTAAATGAGTCTGTGCGTGTGTTGACTGACGTGCTGCAGACTCAGCTTGTCCTCTGCCGTGTTTGAACTGCATCATATGACTCCACCACCTCCACCTTATCTGCTCGGGCATTAAACTGCAGCCCGGCAGAGTAAACACCTCGTTCTGTCGGCTGTTCTCAGATCTGCATGTGAGGCAGCTCTGCGGTTGGCGTCGACTCCGCTCGGCGGGCCTGCAGATGGCGGAGGGCCTGCGTTACCGTGGAAACACCTCACAGTGTATGTGTGGCAGTCACACGAACGCAGCTGTTTGGTGTTGTCACGGCAACTGACATTTCAGGTTTGTATCAGAGTCCTGGAAATGTACATTAAAGTTCTTACTTACAACAGGCTGTAGTGAAACAGGAAGTGTGTGCAGCTCTGACCTTTGGCCTCTGTAGTCACCATGGTAACTGATGTGCGTCCCTGTGAGTGATTCTCAGGACGTGACTGTGACATCAGCGCTCTTAAATTCAGTTTCTAATATTTTTATTTCCTGAATCTGAACACAGTGTCATCGTCATGGGAGGGGGCGGGGCTGCATGTGTGTGTCAGCGCCTCTTTAATGAACGTGATTGGAGGAGAGGTCAAAGGTTAAACTGAAGCTTTGTTGTGAGACAGACGGAGAGATAAACGTGCTGTCTGTTGGAGCACAGATAACTGAGTCTCTGCAGGAGGCTCGGGCATGTTTTATACTCAAAGGTCAGCTGCTGGAGGAAACGTCAATAACTGTGTGTTACGGCTTAAAACTGATATCTGCTCACAGAACAAACAACGTCCTGATGATTCATCTGTTCTTTGAGTCGTAACTCACGTGCTGTTAAGTGTTTGCATGTTTGACTCAAATATTTCTTGTGTAAATAAGTCAGAGCTGCAGCAACATTCAGAAGTATGTATTTAATCTTGATGATCTTGATATTTCTTCTGATAAAGTTGGTGACAGACTCGTCTAAATTTGCAATATAAACTCTACCAGTTGCAGTTACTTACATGTATGTGTATTATATGACATATATATTCTCTACGTGTTTCTGAAATAGTGATGTATCTGGTGTTTGTATCAGATAAAGTTTCTGGAGGATTATTTTCCTCAGACTGTGATTAGCCTGGGCTCATTTCACCCTGAGCGTGGCCTCACAGGTTCCTCTCACAGAGCAGCAGATATTACCGACGCCTCCCCCCGCCTGTTGTTGTTATGGATACAGAGTCCAAAATGGAGTCCCAGCTGAATAAAACATGGAGTCCTGGGAAAAGTAATCACAGGTGGCAGCACTGTACATACAGTGTGAGAGCGCACACACAGACGCAGACTCATAAATCAGCTCGGGGACTCTTTTGTGTGGAGGTCTTTTAATTTGAGGCTGAATGTGACATTTCCCTGCTGCTCCACAGGAAGGTTTTAATGATTGGTTAATGAGATGGGAACGCTCTTTGTTCCTGTTTTAACTCTCTGAAGATGAGCTCAGCGTCCCGCTCTGATGAGAAGCTTTATATTCTACATGTGGAGGCAGGAAGCTGCTGATGTCTGCAGATTTACAAATATAATGTGTCAGTGTTTTTGTTTTTTTAGTCTTGTTTCACCACTTTGGCCCAAACTGAAATATCTTAACAACTGTTGGATGGTTTTGTGATGCCCTCAGGATGGATCGTAATGACATCAGGGATCCTCTCACTTTTCATCAAGTGCTTTGATTTATGACCAAACACCTGCAGAAATAATAACTCCCATCAGCCTCAGCTGTACTTTGTATTCACTGCTATTTAGCTAATGTTGTTGTGCTAATGGTGCTGCAGCTTCAGTTTCAACGTGGTCCGTGAAGAACATTTGAACATTTTTATTCCTAATAGGGATGTTTATTAATATGTTACCCGCCAAGAATAATTTTGACAGTTAATCTGTTGGTTAATTTTTCGGCTCTTCAGGTAGCTGCACTGGGCACCACCTGGGTCTCGGCGAAGCTAGCTAGTGGCGCTGCTCATCAACACTGTTCCAACCTGTAGTGGATGCAGATTTGCATTTCCTAGGATAGCGAAGGCATGACCCGCCCTCCTCTCCCTCTGATTGGCTCGCACTCGTTGCCTTTGTTGGTCTGGTTGGTCAAGTTGAGGCAAGAGGAGTGAGATTTGGTTAGTGTTGGGGTAAAAATGTCAGAGTGAGCCAATCAGAGGCAGAGTAGGGTGGCCCCCATAGGTTGATCTGGTGTGGCATTGTTAGCTAGAGGTATAAATCACCAGTTTCATCAAGATACGATATTTTATTGTGTCTTTGGATGATGATACAATATTTGCCAATAGTACGAAGTCTGCCACGATATGACTTAGATGAGATTCAGGGGCCTGTGATTGATATGAGACGATATCATTTCCCACAGTCTGTTACAGGAGAAGCTGATATGGATCAATGTTTCACTTTTCATTGATGATATTGGATTGTTGATCATTAAATTGATGTATCTTTAATCCCTACTGTTAACTATGTTATCACTGTTCGCTCTGTTAGCTCTATTAGCACGCTTAGCACCATTACCAGTGTAAGCTTAGCTGGGGGTGCTAGCATACTTAACAATGCTAAAGGGGTTTTGCCGCCAAAATGAAGCCTACTCACTGGGGTGGTCTCGGGGGAGACCGAAGGGTGGCTACCATGTTTCCACAGCAACGCCATCCGAGCACTGAGATCACATTACCAGTGGTAATCACAAATGCGCTGCACTAGCTAGTTAGCTTCCACGCAACCTGGGTGGTGCACAGTGCAGAGCCATCTTGGTTAGTTAACCAGTGGAGCTAATGCTAACGCAGCTAGCCGGCTGTCTGTTAGCAAAGCCGACCTAAAATTGAATAAAAGGCAAAATTACATCACAAAACGTTCAAATTTCACCACCTCTAAATTGATAGCACTTTGAAATGTGGTGCTAAAGCTCACTGAGTCAATGGAGTGCCGGACTAAAAGTAAAGCACTTTTTGTAACGTTATTTCACTTCATTTTGCATTTTTTTCCTAAAAAATTAACCTGTAAGTTACAGGTTAATAACTGCTAACCTATCAAAAGCACAATTCACCTAAACTGTTACTCAGGTGTGTTGACACTATCATGACAAATTCTGTACTGAGTCGCTTCAGGGATCAACTGCATTACATATACTGTTAATTTATAGAATACTGTCACTGTTTCTCTAAAGCAGCATAAAGTGTGAATTCATGTGTTCAGATTTATAAATGATGTTAATAATGTTCTTCATGCTGTGGAGATCATGACAACACATTAGTTTCTCTCTCTAAATATCTGTGAAACTAATAATCATGACTAATAATGATGACGTGTGTGTTGTGTTGCAGCTGACTGTCCACTGTGAAGCAGGATGAACGGATATGAAACTCCAGCTCTCGCCTCCGGCATCTTCGGCTCCTACAGCTCACAGATCAAGTCAGTGTTTCATCAGTTTGTAGCACTTGTTAGCATGTCTGTTAGCATCTGAAATGTTTCACACCTCAGTGCAGATACAGTTCAGTGATGATGATGATGGCGGCTTGTAAATATTTCTGTAGTTCTTTTCATCAAGTGGCAAATTTAAGCCGTCACAAATCTGGCCATGAATGTGGCATATGCACACATGTAAACAGTAGCATGCTCACATGCAAAAAAATTACATGCAAAGTTTAAAGCACATTGATATCAAATCATTAACATGTCTGTTGCCTGTCATGGTAACATGCTAACATTAGCTACATGCTAATGTTTGCTCAAACTAAGCCCAGACACACGATATGATACTGAATCCTTGCTTTTTTTACCCCCTTAAATTTCCATTAATTTTGCTCTTAATTATCAGTTATTAGTTATATAAATTAGGCAATTTAATGATGGGGTACTTGATATCTGCATGTTTTAAGGACTTCTTAAAGGGTTAAAAAGCCTTTAAATTTACAAAATAGCATTAAAGCTATCTGTCATTTTTAAGATATAAATTTAAGGGTTTTAAGGGCAAAGCTATTAGGTGAACTTTTAAGATTTTTTACTCCTCAAAAAACATACATTTTTTTTTAAAAAATACAAGGTATTTAGGAATTAGAGGTACAAAGTCAGAGATGGTTTCCACACCTGAAAAACACCTTAAACAAAAAAACTACTCAGCAATTTTCTTTATATTATAATCCATTAATTTACCATACAGGAACAATTTAGGCCCTTAAAGGAAAATTCATTTCATTTTTGTTATTTTAAACTTTTCAAAGAGATTATTCCCTTTAAAATTTCCATGACAAAACCTATTAAACAACCACTTTGTATATTAAAGGCCATCCATGTAGCTATTAAATTAATTCAAATCTGGTAAACCCATTGAATACCTGAAAACTGAATAAGAACTCCTTAAGGCCAAAACACACCGGCGGCGTCATATGACGGTGGCGCCATTGACGCGAGTCAAGTGCCGCCCCCAACACACACAAAAAGCGTCGCGCTGTGGGGCATCAGCCGGATTTCTATTGCACACTCCAGTCCGCTAGCGCTTTTTCAAAGGCGGTGACGCTGGAAAAATAGGACAATAGCGTAAAGTGCCGCAGTGCGGCACGTTGACGCGCGTCGAGCCACCGCCAGTGTGGGTTTGTAAATAGAAAATAATGGGGGCGGCTGTTTTGACGCGCATCGTACGCCGCCGGTGTGTTTTGGCCTTTAGAGTCTCATTAATTAGCAGCAGAAAATAGTTTAGAACTGTCACATGAATCAAAATCTCTTAACCTCAATAACACCTTAAACTCAGCATTAATTGATTTGTCAGCTAATTCAAATTCATGTGGAAATTAGGAGAGCTGTGTGTCCATTAAAATCTATTTAATTTGTTTACTAAGGGCTTTTCAAATTAAAGTTTAGCTTTCACGTTAATGGACAAATTAAAGAATTTCTGGCTTCCAAACACACTAAACTAGATTAAAGATGTTTTGTGTGTTTTCAGGTACATTAAGGATTAATTAAAGGTGTTTTGAGGCTCCTGAGTCTGTGAGCATGAAAAGATAAATATTGTTGCAGCTCAGTTTCTTTCTAAGAAAACCTCAAATTAATATTTAATGAGAAGTGTAACCTAAGATGCTTCATGTTAGCAGCCACAGGTGACCTTCATTTAAGATCTTCTGCGGCTTCACTCTGAACACATGAGGTCACTCAGTCTGTCGGACGGAGGTCAAACTAAAATGAATTTGTTTACAGTGAGGTCAAGTGGAGAGTTTTAGTGTCCGGTGGTCAGGGAGTCAGAAACTCAGACAAGAACACAGTTATACAGGTGTCATTAACTGATAATGAATAATAGGTGATGCAGGTGAATAAACAAACATGTCTGTAGTTCAGAGCTGAACAGACTGATACAGTGAAACCGGAGCTTCATCCTCACTGACACTAATTGATCCACTTATTTAATCGGCCGTGCTAATTTCCCAAAGTTAATGTGGCTGCAGTCCGCAGACAATGAGGTCACTGAACCAGAGAGGAGAGCAGGAGCTGATCCAGGACCTGAATGACCCACACAGCTTTAAAGGGACAGTTCACCCCGAAATCAGACATACACGTTTTTCCACTTACCTGCTGACGAACAGTCGTCATCACGGTCCATTAGTCGACTAGTCTCCTGCATGTTAACGATATCAGTTTAATGATTAAATGATATATTTTGGTGGTTTGAGTTGAAGGTGTGAGAAAGAATAGTATCAGTAACGTTGTTAACACTGTGCTACATTACAGAGAAATACAAAACCGTACTAATGAACCTTAGTGGGGCAGCATAGCTATAAAATCATTCATTTTTGTGATAAAAGCACCAAATTTGGCAGATGTGTTGACAAATATATTAAGAACAAATCTGGATATTGGGGCATCAGAAACTCGCCCCCTGGTGGCCCGAGCAGGCAATTGAATCCTACCTGCCCATGGACCCGTCCTGTTATTTGGATCCACCCCAAAATGTAATGGCTTCTAAGTTGGACCATGCTACATGCCTCCACCAAGTTTTGTGAAAATCGGTTGGACAATTTCACGTAATCCTCATCCAAAAAATGAATGGATGCTTCTGATGCCCCAATATCCAAATTTGTTCTAAATATATTTGTCAGCACATCTGCCAAATTTGGTGCTTTTATCACAAAATTGAACGATTCTAGAAAAATACTGAGCCATGCCGCCCCACTACCATCATTAATAAAGGCCTATATTTTATCTCCAAGTGCACATCACACACTGAGCGAGCCGCCTGTTAATGACGCTGTGGGCTAATGGGCATGTAGCTACTTCCATGTTTCAGATGATACGTCATGTTTGTAGTCGACCAATGAAGATGAGTTTACATATCACCTTGAGTTCGTCCTTCACCTTCTCAAAATGATCCCACACTTTGGATTTCCTGCCCGACATGTTATTAACTAGCCTGTGGAATAACCGAAGGTACCAGCCCTGGAAATTAACCTGACTCCTGTCTGACTGCTGAGCGTGGACACTTCCTGTGTCTGTCCTTTCACATTAAAGTCACACATGGTCCAGTCATATAGGTTTGGATTTATTTTGACAAGGCGCAGCTCCTGATAGAGTCTCGTATTTGTTTGTTTTTCTGCGACTAAGCGACCAATGAAATCTTGTCGACTAACGTTTGGGGCAGCCCTAATGTTTTGTATCTTGGTCCTGCTGGGGGGTCCACCTGCTTCTCATCCTCATTGTCTTGGTCGATGGCAACAGAGTCTTCTCAAGAAATTTTCTGCTACATGGTTCCATTCATCTTCAATTTGATAATTTGGATTCTGCTGGTATCATGAAAAGAGAAACAGCCCTGTACCATGATGCTTCCACCTCAGAAACACACTGTAGTTGTGGTATTTTTAAGGTCATACACTGAACCATATCTCCTCCCAACATGACTAGTTGTGCTGGAATGATGAAGCTGAAATCAAGATTCACCAGAGGCCCCCAGAACCTTCTAGATTTAAAGACTCTGTGTGGAAGAGCGGACCAAAATCTGATCTGAACTCTGAGAGAGATTAATTCCTTCATACAAGAAGCATCTTAACAGCTGCACTGCAAACAAAAACATTTCAGTTGGTGTGTTCAGTACTTACTCCTGTGTTACTGCACTTTATTCATGGATTGAAATGTTATGATTTCATTATCTGTACAGTTTTATTGAGTTCATATCAGTCCCCCACTGTAAAGAGCATTTCTTATATAGGTCTGTCTTTAAATAACCTTAAAGACCGCTCCTCCGTCAGTTCTCTGTGTTTACAGTCAGTGGAGGTGAAGTTGTGCTGCCGTTCAGCGTCTCTCATCATCAGTGTGAATCACCCTCGTTAATTATTTATCGTCTCATCAGTCAGAATAAATAACCTGTGAATGTGTGAAAATATCCAGTTTCACGTCGGTGACACACGAGCAGCCGTCTGCTGTCGGGTTGACAGGAAACATCACGACCTGTTGAGACCGGAAAGTGACGCCGGTGGACAGACAGGAAGTGACAAACATACAGCGTCAGCGTGAAGTTATAGACAGGATGTACAGTTTGATACAGAGCACGACATTTAATTAAAGGGCCAGTGTGTAATATTTGGCATGGTTTATTGTCAAATCTGAATCTGAATATTCTACCCATTAATATGTTTATACAAGTGTATAATTGCTATAAAATAAAATTCGTTTGGTTTTCGTAGCCTTATAATTATGCTTTTTTTTATATATATGTATGTGTGTGTGTGTATATATATATATATACATATATATATATATATACACACAGTACAGGCCAAAAGTTTGGACACACCTTCTCATTCAATGCGTTTTCTTTATTTTCATGACTATTTACATTGTAGATTCTCACTGAAGGCATCAAAACTATGAATGAACACATGTGGAGTTATGTACTTAACAAAAAAAGGTGAAATAACTGAAAACATGTTTTATATTCTAGTTTCTTCAAAATAGCCACCCTTTGCTCTGATTACTGCTTTGCACACTCTTGGCATTCTCTCCATGAGCTTCAAGAGGTAGTCACCTGAAATGGTTT